TGATAACTAGTGATAACTAATGATCACTTGTGATAACTCGTGATAACTAGTGATAACTCGTAATAACTTGTGATCACTAGTGATAACTCGTGATAACTAGTGATCACTTGTGATAACTAGTGATAACTGGTGATAAATAGTGATAACTTGTGAAAACTAGTGATAACTCGTGATAACTCGTGATAACTAATGATCACTTGTGATAACTCTTGATAACTTGTGATAACTCGTGATAACTAGTTATAACTCGTGATAACTAGTGATAACTAGTGATAACTCATGATAACTAGTGATAACTTGTGATGACTTGTGATAACTCGTGGTAACTAGTGATAACTTGTGATAACTCGTGATAACTAGTGATAACTCGTGATAACTAGTGATAACTCTTGATAACTTGTGATAACTTGTGTAATCTGTGGTTCCTTGGCGTCCGTCTGCAGTTCATGGCGGTGTTAGACGGCGTCCTCTCCAAGCTCTCCAGGTACGATGAAGGGACCTTCTTCTCCTCCATCCTCTCCCTCACAGTAAGTAGCACAGTCTCCTCCTCCTCTTCCTCCTCCTGCTCTCCCTCATTCCTCCTTTCTCCTCCTCCTTTCTCCTCTTCCTCCTCCTCCTCTCCCTCCTTTCTCCTCTTCCTCCTCCTCCTTTCTCCTCCTTCCTCCTCCCTCTTAAAGGTGAGACATGTGGCGCTCACTGAGACTTGGCAATTTTCCTCGTCTGTCTGACATCCATGTCTTTCTCTGCGTTTTCGGAGTGTTCAGTGGGAACGCCGCGCTGCTTTCCTTTTCATGGCAGCGCTTCCTGGACGTCTTCATTTGACTCCATAATTTTCCTTCTTGTTATAAAGCGTAGAACTGTTTTCTTCTGGACTTTCTCAGCTGCAGAGCTTTATGGATTTTCAGCTCATTCTGGTTTGTTTGATGCTGGTTAATTCCTGGCAGATCCCTGAAGGTGTTTCCACGAACCATTATGGTCCCATGAGGCTTTGCAGCGTTTAACTTAGCAGAAGGTCCTGGTAGGTAGGGAGGAAGTACTGCTTTGGTCCTCAGACCTCACACAGGCCCAATGTCTTCCCAGTTAAGTTTTCTGGGATCATTGGTTATCTGTTATCAGAGGAAACGTTGGTCCTTCCGCCTGATCTGCAAGCGTCAATCTGAGCCGTTTAAATAGAGCTTGGTCTCCATGTTCCACTAGAGTCTGATGTCACAGATCATCTGTGCAGGAAAATGTTTCAATCAGTGAAGTGTTCAGGATAGCAGTCAGGTTCAGGTGACGATCTGAAATGTGCTGCTTAGAACACAGACCTTCCAGCTTAGAGTCCACTGTAACCCTCAGCCTCTGCACCCACTCATGGGGCCAATCTAGGGGCCACTGCTCTACGCTGTAATCTGAGGCTGAAGTTTGAGTAGCAGCTGCACCTTCTAAAGACTTTAGCAAGTTCAACCAGACATCCAGTTTCCTCCAGATGACAGAAATTATTCCTCCTACCATAGAGGTAGGATGATAGAGGGACTGAATCCTGTGGAAAATGGCTGCCGTCTGTTTCTGTTCCAAAAGTATTAAAGATTGAAAATGAATGTGGGAAAGCAGAGCAAGGAGAGGTTAAAGAAAAGCTGAGGAGCAGCAGAACAACCTGCACTGACTTTCCTAATCCGCCCCCCCGTAATGGTCTCTGGTTCCCATCCAGACTTCCTTCCCAACCGTCTCCTCCCATTAAATTACAGTGTAACTCCTACCTCAGCCTGTTGGTCTTTTGTGTGGAGGAAACCTGAAGCAGGTAAGCTTCTCTGGGAACAAAGGCCAAAAGGTGACGCCCCTGGGACCCCAGCACCTCCTCCTTTGTCCCCTCAAGAACAAGCTGTCTGGATTTGACATTTCCAGTAACCCTGAGGGTGGATTATGATTTTAAGATGAGTTTATTCTAATATCAGAGTCTCTGCTCTAGACTACCATGCTCATCGATAGGAGTTCCTAACCTCGTTAGTAAATGGATGCTGTTCTAGAAAGCCAGCTCTAGGTCCAGCAGCCAGGGATGGGTTTTCCATCTGAGCCTGGGGTGAATCCACATCAGGACAGGCTGTCTGGATTCAATTCTATTTAATTCAGTTCATTTCCATAGAGCCAGTTCCCAAAACACAGAGCATGTAGCGACAGTGGAAATGGGACGAAATCTCAAGCAGAACTTAGAAAATACTTTCCATGTGAGAAAAGTAGCTCGTTAGGTGGCTCTGTTTAGGAAAGAAACAGTTAAGGGGATGAGCTCCAAGCCGGTTTAGTGTCAGAGTATGAAGTGACCAAATCCAGCCAGTCAAAGTCAGAGAAACAGGACTACACTGAAAAACAGGCCATGCTCCAACATCTAGAAACAAAGGTGTTGATGGCAGCAGCACAACTGATAT